TACTCAGAGTCCTTCGACTTTTTTTTGTTTTAATTTATTCCATCAAGAGAAAATTAATCGCGGTGGTAAGTTACTTAGAGTCCTTCAACTTAAAAAAAATAAATATATTCCATCGAGAGAAAATTCATCGTGGCAGTTTTTCTTGGGTGGTAAGTTACTCAAAGAGTCCTTCAATTTCTTTTGATTTTTTAATTTTTTTCCATCGAGAGAAGTTCATCGCGATGGTTTTTAATTGTTCCATCGAAAGAATAATTCTTCGTCGCAGTTTTATAGATTTTTTTCTTTTTACGATGGAATCAGATAATTTGGGGGAGAAGGTTTGGCATTCATTGCCAGCTGGCTATGCTGGGCACATGGAGCGTGTTCGTTCGTGTTATGTCGAAGAAGCATTATATATTGCGTGCAGCGTTCGGCCTCTGTACGTGCAATCGGTGACGTCGTCATGTACCCTGGAGGGGAGGTATATATTGGGTGCCCTGAGGTCCCTTCATAAAAGCAGTATCATGCGGTACGTTGTTTGTTGATGGAATTGACGCGCCGGAGTTGTACATGTTACGAAGGGAGGGGGAAGCAAGGAAAGGCACGGATCAGGGCGGGGGGCGGGGGGGTGTCAAAAGGCGACATATATGGCGTATATGAGCTTGAGCGTGTGTGTACGTCTAGGAGCACTACAGTACATGCTGCTGCAAGGGACAAGGGAAAACAAAAAAAAGACAAATGAAACAAAAAATACAAAGAGAAAACGACCAAACATATAAATTTCGAAAGGAAAATGTCCTAATTTTCGGCCCCGTCAGTACCACTTGGCTGACACGGTCTCCACAGGGTTTTCCCAGGGTGTGCACCCCGCGAGGGTCCCTGAGTGGCAGGGTACGTACAGGGTGTGGGATCAGTACCCTCGCAGGGTACCCACCCTGCCATTGGGTCAAGCCTGCAGCGTAGTCTTTCCAGGGTGACCTTGACAGGGTGAAATCTCCCCACCCTGGCAGGGTAGCCGAATGGCTACGTGTGCTGTTCCGGATGTAAACTGCTACGTACGCTGAATTATCGGACCAAAAAGCAGTCCCGACTCCTAGTAGTGTATGAGTAACTCAGCGTACTTTTGTCGGAGATTGAACGCCTGAGCTCCTGCCTCGCTCTCTGTCGACGTTGATGTATGCATACGGTGAGCACTGCGAGGATCTCGCCGCATCCCTGGCAGGGTTTCCAGGGGCGGGGAGACGTTCCCGTTGTAGGCCATGCTTTTCATATTTATGTGGAAAAGAAGGTTTCGTCCTCGACAGACGTTGGGGAGTTTCATCCTTTATGAAGGTGTTCTCCACATTTATATATATATTTTTTATTTATTTTTTCTTATTGTATATAACAGAATATGTCCATCTCTATCTATAGAAATATGTCTTAGATTAGCAATGAATCCACAGCGTGGTGAGCGAAAGGCTACCTGTATGTCTACGGTTCCCAGACAGCATACAACGATATCAATGAACGATATCTCCCCTGTGGGTAACAGGCTCAACAAGGCAGTTTGGTAGTCATCTTGTGTATCTATTTGTATGTAATGTTGGGAAGTTGTAGACGGAAGATTTAGGGGAACTCGGTTTGTCGGGTGTTCTATTATAGTATCCTTATATTTTGTGGTTTCGGAGCAAGCGCGTCTCGCGGTGTGTATATTTTCGTCATCAACTTATTATTTATTTATATTTTTTCTTAATATGACACAACGAGTCCATCTCTATCATAGATAAGAGTCCGAGACAGATTAACAATGGAATCATAGCGTCAGAGAAAACTACCTGTATCGACGGCGCTAACCGGCTGACCAATGAAAAGACGTCGTCAGTCTTCGTGCGGTTGAAAACACAAAACACTTCTACCATGAACTGGGACCCCGTGAGGGGGCAGCATGGGGGAGGCTAAAGTATCCTTCGGATCAAAAACAGAAACAGCAGCAACAGAAGAAAACTGCACCCGCTTACCAAGGCTACTACCTAGTACTCGAGTTCGTTTAGGAGTACTTTCACCAGTAGTATCCTCCTTGTTTTCGCCATCATCATTCTGATCCTATTTTTTTTTGTGTGTGATGTTGTTGTTGTTGTTGTTGTTTCTCACATTAGCTCTAAAAAAAAAAAAAGATTGGGAGCCCGTGGTCTCAAAACCCGGCATACACGACCCCACGAAGAAACAGAAAAAAATAGGGTCCAAAAACCACTCGGAAGAGATACAAAATGATAGAAAGAAAGACCAGCTACCGCACCAAACGAGAAAGAGCGTCGAGGAGACCGATCAAAATAAAATAAAGGAGAACGGGGAACGCTTCCCACACCCGCCTACAACGCCGGAGGGTTCCGTGCCGGGTTCCCGCCGACCAGGCATCCCCCGCCCTGCACCACACCCCAGGGGGTGCAGCAAGACGGGGGGCGAAAAACAAACACATATATATTCCCACAAAAA